GAGGGATAACGTGATTTTTTTACGTGGAGAACATTCGTGTTTTCTTAAAGATCTTGAACTCAGAATTAAATTTATATTGTTATAAAAATGCAATTAATTTTCGAATACATGGCTCATTCCAATTTGAAATTAAATTAACAATAAAATGAAGTAATAACGCGAAGGATCAATTGGTGGTGTATTTATTATGAAATGTAAGGTACGACAATTTCGTTTTCAATTTTATCACTGTTATTACTTATTTTCCAATGTTTTTTTAAAAAAGGAAAAGAAAAAAAATATATATTTATTTCGACATATAACACATTAACATATACATGTAATTACAGTATATCTTTATGATATTAATTACTGATGAAAATGATATTTTATTTAAACGTAATAAATATATGCTCGTTATTTATGATTACACGAATGTGTTATAAGTTACGAAATGTAATATCATATTGTTTTCAACAATTTTTTATAATGCATAAAAGTAAATATTTGACTTTGAAGCGGTTGAAATTTTATTGATGCAACATTTTATTTATTCATTTTTCATTGATCGCGATAACCGTGTATTAAAAGTCAATCAAGTCTTCTGAACAATACTATGACAATCAGAAAAACATGGTGCCAACTTATATCATTCATTCTTGCAACGATATTAACAGAATGAAACATGAGAAGGAGAATTGCATCATCTTAAAATCAAACAATTATTAGGAAACCTGCTTTTAAATAATTTATGGAACAAGTATCATACAAAAATAAAAAGAAGACACTTTTCATATATGATTATAAATTTTACAAACAAGCAATTTTACAATTTTACAAAGTTCTTTTAAGTTCAAACCCTTATCTGATCACAAACCTATCGAAACATTATTTCTAATATATAATCTAATTTATAAATTCATCTTCTACATTGAAACACTCGCATCAAAGCAAAGATCTCGTGGAATAGTTTCGAATTGAATCGTACGATGAGTGAAAGTTCGAAACAATTCCAAGTGATCTGGAAATCCATCGAAGAAAAGAACTCTTTAGAAGAATCATTGAAACTTATATATTCCTTTTGAGTGTCTTCTTTTTATCTCAGTATGTAGAAATAGTTACATCAAATCATGATGAGTGTATACCTTACTCATCGATTCAAATGTTATAAAAAATATTTCTGAAATTCCTAAGTGACAAGGTTTCAAAGTATTTTGTAATACAAATTTGAACATCTTTTGTATGTAAACGGGTGTCTCGTACCAGCACGTGTTGTATCTAGTCGAGGAAAACTTGTCAGATGATCGATATAATTTCAAATTGGGATATTAATAGTATCAAAAATTTACTTACGCACTGTTTAACAAAAACTCAGAATGTTTCGTCAATTTAGTAGCTGGATAAAAACACAGAAACACGAATACGTAGTTCTGAATAATATCTATCAATATGATTATAAGTTTTCTAATGTGATTGGTTTTTATATATTCGTATACCTTCAAAGAAATTATACATCAATATGTTGATCGTAAAAATTTCAATCAAACCTTTACGTACTTCTATATTTACCTTGTAAAATTTCAAAGTGAATATAATTGTTACTATTAAATATTGTAGAATAATAGATATGGAATAATATGAATCCAGAAGATTAGCATACCTTATAGAAATATTATAATATAAGATATAGTGTAAAAAAAAAAAAAATAATAATTTGAATTGAAAAAAGCAAATATATAGCACATACTCGATGCATTTCCAATGATATCTAACTATGTTTACGATTCGGTTTTGAAGTAAGTATTTTCTATATGCGACGTTCATCTTTCGGATATCATCGAAAAGATGTTTAAATCTGTAACTAAATATAATACAATATGTTATATATTTCATCGTGATCTTATCTTATAATCTTATCTAATATCTTACTTTTTTACCTGGTAATATCAAATATTGCACAGACATGGTACGTGATAGTTATATAGATCGAATCAGTAGATATCAAGATAATCAAACTAAATATGATGACGATGTCGATAAATATCATGAAAATATAATAATCTATTTCGTTTAGAACGTTTACAACATTTATAAAATACACAGAATAATCTATTGTGGTATTTATTATGATAATTGAACTATAGACAATCCAAGTTGTCCCTATTCAAAATATTGTGAATAAAAATATTATACATTTAGAAATTAAATACATTGTAATAATAATTACAACATAAAAATAACTTACAAATTAAATATTTTTCGTATAAATAACTATTACGACTATATTTTTTTAATATATTTATGTCATTAATGCATTTCAACTCGGCCCAATCTCGTTCAATGTTTATAAATAATATTTTCATCTAAAAATGTATTCATTAAGAGATCAAACAGAAGCAGAAATAATAAAAGATTTATAAATTTACCACATCATAATTGAAGATACATGTATAATAGTTAATTGATACTATAATATTTATTGTTAGAATAATTATGCATCCTAAAAGTTCATTAATATTATTTTTACAAAGTAACATTATCCGGACCTGTAAAAAATAAATTTACAATTAATAAAAAGATATGAAAATAAAATAAAAGTTGTATTTACTTAAATATTGTTATAAATATTTTATTTCTATTAAATAATAATTATGGCATTTTAATTTGAACATTTTTCACATTAATTCATATTATCTCCATTGTGTATATTTTTGTATATTAAAATTTATCATAAATTTGTAAATAGTTTAATAATCAGTAATAATAATTAATTAATAATAATGAAGTAATTGAAGCTAATACGATTAGAAAGCATAATTAATTCAATAATCATCAATCATGGAATAACTACTATTAATTATATTATAATTGAAATAATAATAATAACAATACATAATAATATATAAAAGAAATATTTGTAGCTAAACTATTTTTTACTATTTTCCATAATTTTATTATAACAATTCTTCTCGCACAATAATCTTTTCGATACTTTTATTATTTCTTTAATTATTTTAATTCTATTTAAGTTAAATTATTTCAATAGAAATAAAAAAAAAATTGAATCAAATGAAGAATTTCGAATGAATTGAAAAAAGAAAATTACCTGATACACAATAATCAAAATAAACATCGCTTGAATAAACCATTTACGAATTGTTTGTTGTTTACTATTGTCGAACGGCCACAAACCAACTAACTTCGAGTAGAAGCGAACGTATCTATAATAATAATTATCCAACATGTTCGCAAAACAAGAATCAATGACCGTTTGATGAACAAAACAACGGCCATGAGGTGTATTGGCATCCTCCACACGTATTACATAAATTATTCAACAACTTTGCACTTAGATAGATTTCTATAAAATCTTTATTTACCTTCTAATAATAATACGAATTCCAAGAAAGATGCCACATTTACGTAATCATGGTCATTTAATTTTCACCCAAGGAAGATTATCTTTATTTTTCATCGAGGCTTAGACTGTCCATTTTCACACGTTTGATTGACAGGATATACGTGACACAACATAGTACACGAAACGTAGTTGTGTTGGTACGAGCCAGGGTGCGTTTCCATAAGGGATGGTCGCAACAGTCGAGTTTTAGTTAGAATGGAAAGTCGTTCAAAGTGCAGCATCTATTGTAAAAATATTGCGTTATTTCTTGAAGAATTATAATCGAAGAATTACAATCATCTTAAAATTTTAAGTGAAATTAAAATTGTAATTGTAACACATGGGAGGGAAAAAAAAATGTATATTTTTCTAAAATTCTGAACGTTCGTTCGCAAAAAAGAATTTATTTTCTCATAAATAATTGTCGCGAAACGAAACGTTTAAAAACAATAACCAGGGTGTGTTTCAGGGATTACTGTTATAAAAATTGTAAAATCGATAGCGGAACAGAATACAAGAATTTCAATTGAACCATTTTTCAAACGATCCGCGCGATTACTTGTTTTTTAAGGGATCCGAAATATCGTGGTTATTGTTCGAGCCAAACGACAACTTGGAATCAATCGTGTATTCACCACACGGGAGGAGGAGTTTTTTATGTGGATTATTTTTTTCGAGAACAATGGACGACGAATGTTCGCAACGTGCGCGTATCCTGGCTTCGGGAATGACTATGTTTCACGTGGCTTTTTGTGAATCGAGGACTCGTAATAATTCGCTGTCAGCACGGACGAGTAACCCTGTTTCCGTTTCGCGTTCCCATTGTTTTCATCCCGTCCAAATTTATTTAAACTTTCACCCTCGAATGTCCACTCTCTAATAAGTTGTTACGCAGTTGTTCCACTTACCGAACATTTCGAACATTTCGTGTTTTTCTATAATTGTTACGTAGGAGAGGATAAAATCAACTAAAACACCATTTTTCTTGCTTTCGGTAAAAAATAATCCTTTTATACAAATATACTATTCTCTTTTAATTTAATTTTTAACAATTTCCTTTTTTTTTACAAATTTCAAGCTCTGTTTTTATTATATTTATTTATCAATATAAGCTCCATTTAGAAGCTACTACTTCTCATTTTCCTCTCTCAATTTTCTTTATTATTTCGTTAAATTATATTCCCATAACAACGTTCTACAATTGTGAAGTGAAAAATGGACGAGAGCATGACGATCACAGTATCACAGTGTATTAAGCCGATCAGAGAAGCGTTACGTGTCACAGTGAGCGGTGGCCGTCCAATCATCTCCATCCCTTTTCATTGTCGAAATTGCAGCCGGCCTAATGATCCACAGGCTGGTAAATTCGCGTGGAGTCGTGTCAGCGGTTAATAATTGAAATATCAACGGGCCAATGAATCTCTCCGATGCGAGACCGAGAGGCGGAAGCGTGCGCGCGAGTTTCGTCGAGGAACGCGGCGCGCATCCGGTCAGCGTCCTCTAGATACCTTCCGGTCGAACGAACTTCACCCCCCTCCTCCCGGATATGAATTGCCACGAGTTAAACCGCGTGTATATATATATATATA